TAATAATTCTAGTAGATATGAGTTACAATATTCTTTCCAAACATCTTTAACTCAAGCGTTTTTGCAAGGTAACCTTACTCACGTGCAAGGTAATTTAATTTTAAAAGTTTTGCGTTCTCATTCATGTTTTTCTTACTTACCAATGGACACAAGAACTTTATTGCAAACAATGCGACGTGCCCCTGAAATTAGAGTTGTTGCTCCAGGAGAGTATTTACATTTAGGATTTGAATACGCACTAACGCGGATATTAAAGCGTACACCAATAAATTTAATTCCTGACATATTATATGTAGATTGGAGTACTGATGGCGTTCGATTAAACAAATCAGGCAAATTACAATTATGGCCGATTCAAATATCAGTTTCTAATATTTTTGAATGCAAACCTGAAGTAGTCGGTGTGTATAAAGGAGTAAAAAAACCCATTTCATCAAAACAGTTTCTTGATGACTTTATAAATGAAGTCAATACATTAATTAAAAAAGGAGGGATTATGTTCATGCAAAAAGTAATTCCAATCAAATTAAGAGTATTAATAGTCGATGCAGTTGCTAAAGCATATGTACTTAATCACTTTAGTCATGTATCTAAATATCCTTGTTCAAGGTGCCACATTATAGGGAAACGATATGAAAAACAAATTGTGTTTCCTGGTACAACATTGCGTTTACGAACAGACAAAGAATACGCTCAAATGCTTGATAAAAATCATCATAAAGGTTCTAGCGCAATATCTGAATTACACATGGGCCTTGTATCACAAGTACCTGGCGATGCCATGCACATTGCATATGAGGGAGTTAAAAAAAAATATTAGAAGCTATAATTAATGGTAAATATGGGAAAACCATGAAATTATGTATAAGAGACATTAATTTAATTTCAAAAAGATTGAAAATATTATCAAAATATTGCCCAAGAGAATTCAATCGAAAACCTAGATGTCTCAAAGATTTTAATGATTACAAGGCAACAGAATTTCGTCAATTTGCATTGTATACTGGCCCTGTAGTCATGTATGGCATTCTTCCGAACGACGGATATCTTCATTATTTGTTATTTCATGCAGCATTGCGTTCCATTAGTCAGAAAAATAGCTCCACAATTTATCAACGTTTTGCTGAAATAGCATTAAAAGAATTTGTTGACAAATGTCCACAGTTCTACAAATTATCCTTCATATCATATAATGTGCATGCATTACTACATTTTGTACCAGATGTTGAACGTTTTGGCCCACTTGACTCATTTTCAGCATTTAAATATGAAAATAATGTGGCATTTTTTAGAAAAATATATCGTAAGCCTTCTTTGCCTCTCCAACAAATAGCCCTTAGATTAGCTGAAATGGAACAATTAGAGCAAGTTGTTCCTAACACTGAACATACGATAAAAGTTTCAGTATTACATGATAACGGCCCAATCCTGCCCGAACTTGGCTTCGTTTATATGCAATATCGTAAAATGCAAATGAAGAATATGTTTATAGGCATTGATTTTGATGGAGATAAATGTTGCATATTGAATGATTCTTCTATTTGTGTTGTGTATAATATTTTGAAAACACAGTACAATATGTACTATTTTATCATTAAAAAATTTAAAACTGTAAATGCTTTTTACGATATTGGCATATTATCTACATGCCTTGGCATATATAAATGTTCAAACTTGTATAGCAAATATGAAGTTATATCGATAGACGACGTTAAACAAAAATGTTATTTAATGCCATATTGGAGTAGAGAAGAATCAGAGCTATTGGTATCTGATTCAAGTGATAATGAAAATACTGAAGAACCTTCAAATAACATATTTATAGCTGCCGTTATCATATAAAATACATTTAAGAAAGAGTTGAAAATTGTGGAATTTTTTTACTTATTATACGTGTTATTCCACTCCTGTGTTTACGTCGTTATATTATCTAATATTTTTATTTAAATATTAATGTTATACATTACTTATTTTCGCAATTGCAGCAAATATATATATATATAATATAACAAACAATATTAAAATATTTCGTGCATTCGTAATATTTATCTAAACTCAAATTGTATATATCCAATTTTATTATTTTTCAGAACTGAAGCAATATGCCTAAAATTAAAAATACTCCAAAAACTTCATTAACAGCTTTAATTAAGTCACGAAAGTAGGTATATGTTTTTTATTTTAAAAGAATAATTATATAAATATTACTTAGTATTTACTGACAATGAGTCAATAATAATAGGCCATAAATTCATATTTTCATTTACATGATAATTGT